GTCTCAAGCGAAGCGGGCTGGACCGCCTCAGAACAACGGCAGGGATGTCTGACCCGAATCGGGATGGACCATCTCTCGCGCGGTATTTCGAAGCCCACAATTGAAAGGATGTCTCAAGCGAGCTCTTGCAATTGTGGGCTTCTCGGCTGGGCCACCTCACAGGCGGCATCTCAAGGCCCAAAATTGCGAAACTGGCTTCGCCGAATACGACCCGGACAATCTCTCGCATGCGGTCTCCTAGCTGAAAATCCCGCCCGTCTTCTGAACAGGAGGTAGTCAATCGCGATTTCTTCGCGATTCCTCGTCCAACCTTCTTTTTCCCCTTTGGGGATGAGTTGATCGCTGCTCCTGAATAACATATGCCCCCTTGCCCAGTCTACCGACCATTCACCCGAAACGCTGCCACCTCCCACGATTCCAGTCAAAAACCACATCGAACTACTCCCAAGCGGCTCCCCCAATGGAACTCAGAAATGCGATGCGATCCGTCATACGGCCAGACCTACGACAGAAGAACACCCTCCAAGAACATGCGACCCTCCGCCGGCCAAACTGAAGAACTTTTGAGGGCACCCTCCCCCCGGATGCACACCAAACCTCCAACAAACACGAAGAACATTAGGGTACCCTCCCCGAACCGACGTCGATCTTGCACCTCAGCCCGACCGTAAGCATGATCTTCGGGTGATCACGGCTTTGCAGATAGAGAGAAGTCCGAGGTGCAACAGAGCATCGGGAGTCCAGGGGACAACGCTCGGGCCTGGATGCCTCGCCTGAGCCCTCCCCGCCGTGCTCAGAAAGGCACCCCCACAGACAACAAATCAAGCATGCGTCGCTGAATCGGGGTCGGCGGCAGAGGCGGTAGCCTCTTTACTGATGGGTGTTCGTTTGGGTGCTCAATGGTTTTAGCGTTCTCGTCGTTTCGGGTTTCTGACGCTCGAAGACGGCCTTCTGGACTCCCAAGATCGCCCAAAGACGGTCGCAGAGGCCAGCGAGAGGCCCGCGAGAGGGCCCCAAGACGGCCCTGAAGCGCCCAAAGAGGGACCCACGACTGCCAAAAGAGGGCCCCAAGACTGCCTCCAAATGCGAAGAGGTCCCTCAGAGGCCCCCATGAGACCGCCAAGAAGACCCCCTGAGAGGCCCCAGGAGGCCAAGGAGCCCCTCCCAAGAGGTCCCACGAGGGCCACATGAGGTCTCCTCTTCTTCTTCCTCCTTCTCCGCCTCCTTCTCCTCCCTCTCCGCCTCCTTTCCCTTCCTCTCCCCCAATGTTTTCCCATAAGTTTTCGCAGCGCGTCGGTATCTCACATCCACCAGTTCAAGCCTGGCGAGCCTACATTGGCGCCAGCTTGCTCCTTACTAGAGTGTGGATGGGTATAAGCAGCATGAGCTTGGAACTTCTGCCCTTTGGCGACGATACGACCCGATTCGGCACAATCGAGCACGTGATCATGGACAGTCCCCTCTGTTCGTATACCTGAATGCCCTGCCTTAGCTGACCCATCGGCATGGCACCTGCTATGGGCTCCAATGCTAAAGTCATGCAGCAGCCGTTGGGCCGGGGTGCGTGCACCAGAAAGAGATTGGAATCACGCCACGCAGCCTCACACGCACGTGACCGTGCCTCATTACATACATCTGGACCGCACGGCCGGGGTGCGTGCACCAGAAGGAGCTTCGAATTACGCCTCGCAACCTCACGTGCAATCGTCTGTGCTTCACCATGTCTGAGCCGCACGTCGTAGGTGGCAGGAGATACTATGAAATCAAGGAAAATCTCAGGGACCTCCTGTAAACAAAAGCTAACGCAACGGACTAATGACACAGTCAACTCGAATAATAAGGACGCACGACGAGGATCCAAGAGCCTTGGAGGGCCATGCCGACACTTTGCGGGTGGGGCGCGGCCAGCGAAAGCGGCCAGGGATGGGCCGAAGGGGCAAGGATGCAAGCATGAACTTGGAAAATTGCTCATCCTTACTATGCGGGTTGACTGTAGAATCAATGCGAATTCTGAAATGGCTGATGGCCGTAGCATCAACAGATAGTGTTGCTACAATTCAAGGCACACTATATTTCGCGAAAGGGCGAACGCCAACGCAAAGAAAACCTTAGTCCCCATCTGCCGCTACGAAATGTCAGATAATCATGCGATTATGTCGCTGAAGGCCGCAAGTGCGAGTCCATACATTTGCATGCTCCATTTGCCGCTCAACAATTGAGCATGAGGAAACTGCCTCCGCAATCGAGCGAAATGCTCGTTGCGTTCCCAGGTCGCAAAAAATAAACAAATCTGCCGACGTTGCTGGTCGCCGTGCCTATGAATACACTGGCATGGGTCAACATGCTCAGATCGAGCACAAAGCTCGCCTCTTCCGCGTCCTTGGCGGCCTCGTCCTCCCAGTCATCGTTCCTCACTTTGTACAGCTCGGGTGACAAGCGGCCCTGCGAGACGACCACCATCTCCGGAAGCTGTTCCTGCAGCTCACCGCGAGCGGCCGACCAATCGCTCGCCACGTAGACCGCGCACGCCTGCCTGCCAAGGGCGTGGCACTGCTTGCGGACCTCCTTTGCGAATACCTCCACCCCTATGTATCGTCCGGGCTGCCCCGCCAAAGTCTCGTTGATCTTGTCGCCCCGCCGCATGTGGACCCCAACGTAGGGCGCACCTGTTATGGCGAGGCTCTCGAGGAGGGCCGAACGCCGCTCCATGACCCGCGAGTTGAACCGGAATACCTTCGAGTACACGAAGCGCTTGAGGTCCCCAACGGACGCCTCGTCCAGGGAGCGGCTGGCGAACGCCCCCGCGCAGCTGCCGCTCGCGAAGACGGAGGGTGCGTCGCCGCAGTCGCTACACCGCGCGAAGTCCACGGGGTCGAAGTACGTCGGCCAACTGTCGTGCGCGCCGGCCCGCGCACACAGGACGAGCGGCGCCCCGGCCCACATGGCCCAGAGAACCTCGTTGGCAAAATTGTTCATCCTGCTGCCGAAGCCGAAGGGGTTGATCCGTGCGGTCGCGAAGACAAGCGGCCTGGACGCGTCCTCGCAGATGTAGCTGGGCCTGTAGTCGCCTGGCTGTCTCCTCCCGGCCACGATGAAGTTGAACACGGCCTCCCAGCGCTCCCGCGGGGGCGGCCCTGCGACGACCAGTTCCTCCACGCCGCTTGCAGGACACCAGAACGTGTCCCTGGGGCAACCCAGGTTGCCGCCCTGGAAGACCCACTGCTGGCTCCCCTCCATCGTCCAGTGCGCATCGAAGCCGAACACGAGACCGTTGTTCATGATCTTGCCACCCGCGCCGTCGTACAGATTCCAGCCAGGGGCAGGCTTCAGATCGCACCAGTCCATGAGAACCCTACAATTCGACGAGCCTCGGTCATCCAAATATTCTGGGCTGTAAATGAACTGCACACAGTTCACCAAGGATTGACACCATACAGAGCACTCGACATCACTGCTGACGTTGAAACCAAGAACGCCTATCTTATCAATATTCGCACAACTTTCCCCTGTCTTGTTCAAATTGAAAATCATGGGCTCGTAGATTGTGGTGCCGTTGTCACTCAGGAAACGTTCTGGAAAACTTGAGGCTGTCCTCAGACTTCTGCGCACTGTGAAAGACACAGAGGCTGACAAGACCGCCACCAGACCAACCAACACCACCGCGTATTGCAGTCTCTGGCGGTACTGCGACGTTGCTGGTGCCCTCACGGGGATCGTATGGGCAGCCTCAAGCAGGCCCTGCGACTCACATCCTTCGGCGTTGCGCGACTGACATCCTGTGCCGTCCGTGCCGTCCTTTGAGGCATTCATTTCCGAGCTGGGATGTCTGACTGTAGACGAAGCAGGGAAAGGCATCACCTACAAACACGAAAAAGGGTTACGCGTGCCATCACAACGCTGTCCCTTGTGCCTTAACCGCTTGAGCCAAATGGCAACGAAAAACACATCGCCCAATAGCTTGGCAAGACTTCGGCCCAACGTTCGGTCGCATGGGCGTTTATACAAGGCAGGCGGCGGCGGTGATTCGCCGTAGGCGTCTTCGATAATCAATTAGATTCTAGGGAGAGAACGCACAAGATGATGAACAAGTACCGGACGACCGAAAAAACACGGGAAGACGGACTACTGCTCTCTTGAACATCTGCCGACCCAAATGCTCTCGCTACCCGTGGGAGATTCGCTTCACGTTTCCAAACCAATTTTCGTCAACACTTGAACAACAATTCTGCGAGCCTGAGCCGCCAAACTACCGGAACTTTTCGTGCGGATTCCCCATTGCGGGGAAGGCCGAACTGAGACAATGGAAACGCAAGATCGGCTCAAAATCGGGAGCGGCCAAGAGGGGGGTGTCCAAGAGGGGGGGGTGCAAATCATGACCGGCGGCATGTGCGCGGCCCAGCGGGGGGGCCAGGGACGTAATGAAATATGAAGGGGCGCCATGAAATCTGGGGAAATATCATGGCCCCCGCCATGATCTCCCCCCCCCCCTAGTCATCACCCCCCTCTTTTCCGCCCCCGACAAAATCGGTTCCCAGCCCCCTCCCGGGATCCAAACGCACCAATTTTCCAAGCTGCGTCCAGCCGAGGCGACGAGGGGGCACCCCGAAGGCCAACTACCGCTGTCTCAAACGGCCATCCGCTGACCATACCATCTCGTCTCCTGGACAGTGCGCTCGTCTTCGCAAGCCGCTCGGAGAGTTTGGGAAACCAGGCGGCCGCGCTTGCCAGGCACGTTCGAGACCAATCCCCAAACAAACACAAATATCCACCAATCCCAGTGCCAATTTGCGCTTCGATTGCCAATCTATGCGTTCATGCGGGATTCTTGCGACCGAAGTTCGCCATCGCAGAACAGAACCTTCGACCATCGGCCCGCCCGCTGTTGCTGGGCCAAGCCGTGAGCGCACAGTGCCTGCAGTGCTAATTGGCCTGTCTGTCTGTTTTGTTTGCCCGAGGGACCCCAAGCTCCTCTACTTGGACTACGTTTATCGATTCCTTACAATCCCTGATGGAAGGGTTTACCCGTATCACATCCCGTCCCAATTGCCTCAAAACGGTCCCACAAACACCTGAGACAGCTCAGGAGGCCCTGGAAATGCCCCCCCGGAGCCCTGAAGAAACTTCCCAAACGCCTACAACAAGCCGCAAAGAAGTCACCGTAACCCCAAGACGCCTTCAATATTTCAGAAAGGACTCCTACGACGGTCGTGCATACGCCGAGCGACGCCGAGGACAAGATGCCCCCGAAACTCTCACGAGATGCAACCAAGAGAACATCGAGAGTCACCTGAGAAGGGTTTCACACCACATGGCATAGCCCCAGACCATTACAGGGAATGCTGGAACAAACAATCACGGAGCAAAGGAAGATGAGAAAGAAGAGGACGTATACCGTATTTGCTAATTACAAATGGCAACCTCATCCATTTCCGTTTCTTCATCCATCTCCTCCTCTTCCTCCTCTCCTCCCTCTCCTCTCCTTTCGCCACTCTCGCTACGCATGTGTAGACGTTTTGGTTTCTCGCTTCTTTTACTTGCGCGAGATACGTTCCAAGATGCCGGGATTGCCTTCACGACTAGGGGGAATAGACATTATGTTATGAAGGAGAAGGACGAAGACCCCCATTCGCTCACACGCAAGCCCAAACAGGACCTCGAGAATCCCCCAAAGAAAAGACGCGAAACTGGTCACCATATGGGCAATCACGCTCAGCTCAACGAAACCGACAACAATAAGCCCTACCGTCAGGCGCTCGGAAAGGTTGGCCTATAAAGAATGTGCCCGAACAAGTCACAACCAACCGAGTTGTCAAAGCCTTGCCCACATGAACCTGGTCCTTCTGTAACCCAACATAGCTACGTCAATCTTATCATTTCGGGATCGATAACAAATCTGGCAACACTGGGGGGGACAAACGTATCGTATATGTGCAAGGGGCAGGGGTCAGTTTCAGTGCCCGGCCCAATACGAAAATCCAAAGACCAAAGAACAAGCCATGGACGATCCCCCGTCGGGAGCTTCTGCAAAAGCCAAGTCAAAGGAACCTCCATGCCGTGTGCCAGAGCAAAGCATACTGCGGACAAGAGCCTGCAATCCTGAGGCCGCTGTGAAAGTGCTGATCTCAGCAATGATTAAGCGAACAATAGAGCACACATGATGCTACAGCTTGCATCCTTGCCGCCCCACCTCCGCAACGCAGCTGCCCTGCAGACCCGTCTTGGGATTCGCCTGTCGCACAGCAAAGCTGTATCCAGGGAGGGAAGATTCAGAATTGTGAGCAGGGGTGCGAAAACGCACACATACAGATCTAGATATGTATACATAAATACATACGTTTTAACAACACGATGTTGCTTCGAACGGTCCCCATCATAACAGTCGGTGTTCGTTCTCGAAAATGCGCGTGTCGACTGGAACGATGCGCGTGGGGCGCCGTTGTCTTGGCCAACGCCGCGGTCTGGCCAAGTCGCCGGTTGCCGTTGCCCTAAACTATGGTATGCTATGCTATGTCATGGTATGCTCTGTGTTCTGAGCCATGTCATGTCATTGCATGGTACGCTATGCGCTCTGCGTTACATGTCATGGTTCGTTGTTATGCTGTGCGGTAGTGTGATATTGTCTGCCATGGTAAGTATTGTTATGCTCTGTCAGGGTATGGCGTGTTGCTGTTGTTATGCCACTGTATGATGTGTTATGCCGCGCTCTGCAATGGTATGCTGTGTCATGGTATGGCATGTTATGTGCGGTGATGCTGTGTTATAGTATGCTGCGCTCTGTAATGGTGTAACATGGTATGCTATGCTTGATCGTAATATGTCATGTGAAGACTGGCTATACTATGTTGTGAAGTGTGGTCGTATGATATGCCCTGTAGAAACTATTGTGCCATGGCTCATAGTTATTCATATGTGGTGATATGTGCATTGGCGTGATGTCATGGTATGTTATGTTATGCCATGGCATGCTATGGTATGCCCTGTTCTGCCATGTTCTATTATGTGGTACGCTGCTGCATAATGTTATGTGATGCGGTGTTGTGTCATGGTATGTATGTTCCGTCCTGTCATGGTATACGCTCGTTAGACGTGCTGTGTGATGGTATGATTTGTCCTGTAATGGTATGCTGTGCCATATGATATTATGCTACGGTGTGGGACGCTATACCCCGTGCTGTGTGCTCCGCTGCATCGTCCCATGATTTGCTTAACAAGTCTGAACTGATCTGCGATGCCGTGTCATGGTATGGTATGTCCTGCCTTTGTTATGTTAGGGCCTGTCCTATCATGTTATGGGATGGTCTGTTCTGTCATGGTATCGGCTGCCAAATCCTGCCAAGTTCTGCCGTGTTCGTCGAAGGCGTGAGGCGGGAGTCTCGGGGGGCACTCGGTGGACCAAGGTGTCTGGTGGCCGCGGTAGGCAGAATGGGCGGATCGGGAGGCCTGTTCTTCACCATCTGACAATCCTAAACTGTAAGGTGTGGAAAAAGCAGACCGACCTCGACCACTCGTGGTTGACATGTACGATCGACCACGCCCCACAGCTGCCGCCAACAAACACATCATTCTGGCTATCCTCGCCGGTATTCGATTAGATGCGCTGCGCGGATTTTTTTTTGCAAAGCAAGCAACCAATCCTCTGGGCGTATGTGGCCTGGGGAGCTGCCCCTTCCAACTCAGCTCTTTCACTCTGGGGAGGGTTTTATCCCTCCGCCACGTCCTCCCCTGGGACTTGGCGGGGTGGGGGAGGGGTCCTGACGTGCTGCGGCGTTCAATGTTTGCAGCAATGGCTGCAAAGCGGCCTCGGATAGCCCAACGTGGCACCCAATGCAGCCCAGTGTAGCCGAATCTGGCTCGGAGTTACCTCCAACATGTCCCCAACCAACCACGAGACCACCCCGAGACGGCTCCACGTGGCCAAGGAAACTTCAAAGGAGACCCCCATGAGAGGCCAACATCATACAACAACCCAAGCAATCAGTTCAATACTGTGCTGACTACTCGTCTTCTCGTGTTGATGGTGTTCTGAGGCCTCAAGGTGGCCCCACCACCGCCCAATCAAGCAACAGGAAGGGCCCAGAACAAACTTCCAATGCTGCCCCCAAAGGGTACACAAACGATACAAACAAGAGAATCCCTCTGGGGGCTATAAGAACCGCTCATTGGGGCTCCAGATGAGCACCGCTAATTCAAGCTGCACTATGTTTTCTTCGATGGCCTCCCCAAGAGGAGTCTCAGAGAGCCCCAATAGGTGCCCAAGGGCTCACAACAAAGCCCCAATAGAAACCCAACATTCCTTCAAACAGCATCCAAACCGCCCTTCCGCTGGCGTCGTCGTCCTTCCAGTCCTCGCTGATATTGTCGTCGCCATCCCATTCCTCATCTATCCTCCTCCTCCTGCTTTTGCCCTTCATACTTCTCCTCTCATTTGCCTATTCGCCCTTGTCCCTCGTCTTCCTCCATCTTCACTTTCTCCTCCGCCAGCTCCGTCTCCTCCTTCTTCGATGGCAGGACCCTCAATTCCAGTTCTGGGTATGCTCAGGTTGGCTCCAAGCTTCGGCTTGACGGCTGACTCTCAAACATGTTGCACTGGATGCTTCTACACTTCACTGATCAAGGCAACCCACCGGGCGACTTCTGGATGGACTGGCGGGGAATGCGGCATGCGCGAAGCTTCAATAATCTATCAACCGATGTCCAACGTTCGCGCGGTGTCGGACGCGTACCTGCTTCAATTCTGAAATCAGATGAAACTGAAACGTATCCCATGCCATCCATCCATGCCTCGTTCGTCAGAGGGGGGGAACGGCAGTACTTGCCAGCATGGGTGGGGCGTCTGGCATGACATATACTGCGCCATCTCGAATATACCTGGACAAAACTTGCTCTGTGGGCTTTGTCGCTTAAGTCCCACGTCTGGCAATTCAGCGTATGGGCGAGCTTGTGCCCGCCCGCGGCGACAAACCTACCACATCAAAACAATAACGCCCACTGCTGATGTACCACCCCTTCGGTTTTTCACAACCCTCCTTGTGTTGGGCACTCGTTTTGAATAGACCACTGCGCGGCCCGTCCTCCCACCTCCTCCTCCTTCCTCCTCACCTCCTCTCCTCCTCGTGCTTCCTGCTTTATTCCCAACACTCCCTTGGTTGGGTTCTCGTTTTGAATAGAGCACCGTGGTCTCCATCACTAACTCCTCCCCCCTCTTCCCTCCTCCTCCTCCTCCTCCTCCTCGTTTTCTTCCTGCTGCTCCATGCCTCGTGGATTATTCCCAACCCTCCCTCGGTTGGTTCGTGGGCTCCTGGGAGGTCCAGCGGGAGGGTGTCTCACGGGGATCACCATGAGACCTCGCCGCCCCCTGGGGGGCTGTGAGCTGCGAGGCTGTCGCCACTTTCGTGAGCTTCTGGGCGGGCCAGCGGAGGTACGTCCTACGCAGATCACCACGAGACCTCGCCGTCCCCCTGGGGGGCGGCGATCTGCCGAACTGTCGCCACTCTCGTGGGCTGCTAGGAGGCCCAGCGGAGGTACGCCCTGCGCAGGTCACCCCCTGCGACCTCGCCGCCCCCCTGGTGGGGCTGCGATCTGCGAAGCCGTCGCCAATTTCGTGGGTTCTGGGGAGGCTCAACGGAGGCACGTCTTGCGCAGAACACCACGGGACCTCGCCGTCCCCTGCGGCGATCAGCGAAACTGTCGCCACATCTGTGGGTTCCGGGGACGCCAAGCGGAGGTGCGCCCTACGCAAATTACCGCGGGACCTCGCCGTCCCCTGGGGGGGCTGCAACCTGCGAAATTGTACCCACTTTCGGAATTTCCTGAGAGGCCCAGCGGAGGTACGCCCTACGCAGACCACCACGAGACCTCGCCGCCCCCAGACGGGCTGCGATCAGCGAAACTGTCGCCACTTTCGTGGGCATCTGGGCGGCCAAGCGGAAGTACGTCCTACGCAGATCACCGCGAGACCTCGCCGTCCCCGGGGGGCTGCGATCTGCGAAACTGTCGCCATGTTCGTGGGCTCTTGGGAGGCCCAGCGAAGGTACGCCCTACGCAGATCACCACGAGACCTCGCCGCCCCCTGACGGGCTGCGATCAGCGAAACTGTCGCCACTTTTGGAGTCTCCGCGAGCCCTCGCCGTCCCCTGGGAGGCTGCGTTCTGCGAAACTGTCGCCACTTTCGTGGGCGCCTGGGAGGGTCAGCGGAGTGACGTTTTACACAGATCACCGCGAGACCTCGCCGTCCCCCTGGGGGGAGGCTGCGACCTGCGAAATTGAACCACTTTCGTGGGTTTTTGGGGGGGCTAGCGGAGTGACGTCTTACGCGGATCGCCGCGAGACCTCGCCGCCCCCTGGGGGGCTGCGATCTGCGAAACTGTCGCCAATTTCGTGGGCTCCTGGGAGGGTCAGCGGAATGATTTTACGCAGATCACCGCGAGACCTCGCCGTCCACTGGGGGGGGGGGGCTGCGATCTGCGAAACTGAATCACTTTCGTTGGTTTTTTTTGAGGGCCAGCGGAATGACGTCTTATGCGGATCACCGCGAGACCTCGCCGCCCCTGGGTGGCTGCGATCTGCGAAACTGCCGCCACTTTCGTGGGGCTTTGCATGGGAGGCCCAGCGGAGTGACGCCTTACGCGGATCACACGAGACCTCGCCGTCCCCTGGGGGGCTGCGATCAGCGAAACTGTCGCCACTTTCGGAGTCTCCTGGGGGGGGCAACGGGGTGACGTCTTACGCGGATCACCGCGAGCCCTCGCCGTCCCCTGGGGGGCTGCGATCTGCGAAACTGTCGCCACTTTCGTAGGCTCCTGGAAGGGTCAGCGGAATGACGTTTTACGCAGATCACCGCGAGATCTCGCCGTCCCCCTGGGGTGGTCTGCGATTTGCGAAACTGAACCAGTTCCGTTTGTTTTTGGGAGGGCCAGCGGAATGACGTCTTATGCGGATCACCACGAGACCTCGCCGTCCCCTGGGGGGTTGCGATGGGCTTCTGGGAGGGCCAGCGGAGTGACGTCTTACGCGGATCACAGCGAGACCTCGCCGGGGTCTGGGTTGCTGCGTTCTTCGAAACTGTCGCCACTTTCGTGGGCTCTTCGGAGGGCCAGCAACGGAATGACGTCTTACGCACATCACAACTGTAGCTCGCCGTCCTCTGGGAGCCCACGATTCGTCAATATGTTGCCACCAGTCCCATGAGGCATTCGCGGCGGGGTATATAAAACCGGCGGCAATCAGGCA